GCTGGTGATGACCTATAAAACTCTACATGGCATGGGGCCAGGTTATTTGAAAGACCACCTCTCCCCAATTATACCTACCCATCCCATCAGGTCTGTCAGAAAGGGCATGTTGTGAGTCCTGTCCATGAAGGAATGTCATCTGACCAAACCCAGGAGGGTAGTCTTTTCTGCCACAGTGTCCACCCTTTGGAACATCATCTTCCCTGAGGTGAGACTGGCCTGACCTTGTTGGTCTTCAGGAGAGTCTGGAGACATGGCTTTGCCATCTGGCCTGGGGATCCAGTGATGTTGGTGGAGAGCCTGCTAAGTGGTTGTACTGTTAGGAAAATGAATGGTGCTCTCCCACAGATTCTGTTTTTTATGGTTTTCATAGTTTTTATTGTTTTCTTTTTTTGTTTTAATGACTTTTGCGGTTATAATTTTGGAAGTTGTTTTGCATTTTTGGGGGTATGTGTTCAACTTTGTAAGCTGTGCAGAGTCGCAGAAGTGAGATGGGCAGCTGTATAAATTAAATAAATATGCTGCCTGGATCCCAGTGACTCTGGGTGGTTTACAAATTGTTAAAAACATTTAAGAACAAGGAACAATACAAAAACACAAAAACAAGACAAAACAAAAGAACAGAGACAGCAGAGAAAGCCAACCCAGATGGGAACAAGGAAAAGGAAGAAAAGGGGTGTCAGTTGTCCTTCCCAAAGGCCCAGGCAAAGAGGCACATCTTTAGGGCTCATAAAAATACCTCACTGTTCGAATCTTGGAGAGCGCCTCACTCCAGAGGCAGGTGCTGCTACTGAGAAGCCATGCTTCTGACAAATCACAGGAAGTAATTGTTCCATTGGAAGTTATTCTAAGAATCCCTGATCAGACCCCATTTGGGCTACTGTGTCCAGTTCTAGGTAGCACAGTTCAAAGACTGCAGTGACAAATTGGAGCAACTAACAGTGATGGATTTGAAAACCAGCTCTCTGAGCAATTAAATTAAAGAATCCAGATGTGAAATATGATTAACGGAAGAAAATATGGTTAAGGGTAGATATGAAAATGTGATTTAGGGAAGATATGATTTGTCACATAGAAGAGAGAGTAGACTTCTGTATTGCCCCAGAGGACAGGATCACAACCAGTGGATTAAAACCATAAGGAAGGAAGTTCGAGCTAGATGTCAGGAGGAGCTGTCTGACTATACAGGTTGTCAGCCAGTGGAGCAGATTCGCCAGATGACCTGGTGAGTTATCCTTCAAATAAGAGAGATCTTCAAACAGAGGATGAATGGCCATCTGTCAAAAATTATCTGGTGGGCCTTGCACTGAACAGAGGGTTAGACTAGATGACCTCTATGATCACCTCCAACTCTATGAATATGTATTAAGTTAACAACCTAGTCATACCAGGTGAGTTTTGGCAGCTTCTCCAATATGCCACAAGTACAACGAAAGCCCAGTTGCACCCTGCTACTTTGTGCAAGCTAGGATCTCTCATCTAGAGACTGCTTTACAAACCAATGTATTGATGCCCGCACCCCACCAGCTCAGAGGTATATGCAGTATACTGACACATAATCAGGATTCTACTTCAGAGAAAGAAAAAAAAAAACTAAGGCTTGATACAGGCAAGTTAATTATTGATTATATAAGCCTGTATACAGGTAGTCCTTGTCTTATGGCCATTCGTTTAACATTTGAAGTTACGATGGCACTGAAAAAAGTGACTTACAACTGGTCCTTGCACTTAACAACCATTGCAGCATCCCGACAGTCGTGATCAAAATTCAGGCACTTGGCAACCAGCATGAATTTACGACAGTTGCAGTGTCCCAGGGTCATGTGATCGCCATTTGCAACCTTCCCAGGAGGCTTCTGACAACCAAGTCAATGGGGGAGGTTGGATTCACTTAACGACTGCATGATTCACTTAACAACCATAGCGATTTGCTTAATGACCATGGCAAAAAAGGTGGTAAAATCAATAGAAGCGAATATGTGTAGCTTAGGGTTGAACTGTGGAGTCCTTGGGGTTCTCTGAGCTTGGTTGTTTTCTTGCAAACATT